GCAGCCGCGGCGAAGGGCGGCGGCGTCGAGGACGGACGTCCGGCGTTCGTTTTGCACCTGTGCCTCCGGTGTCTCGAAACAGCACGGGGGAACCTCGAAATGAGAACGGCACGTGGGAAGACTGCGGGACGCCGGTGGAGTGCATAAAGCCGCGCCTTTCCCCTGATCTGACCGCGGCCGCTGCTACTGCAGCACACAGCCAGGACGGAGCAGAGGGGCTGAGAGGGGCTGCCCCTTCCTCCTGTCGCCAGCCCCGGCGGGGCCCCCCTCCCGCCCGGCCCGGCGGAGGCTGGGACCTGCCTTCGGCGGGCCCGCCGACATCCGAGGGCAGGAGCCCGGGCCGAGCCTGTGATCCGCCCGCAACCCCAGGCCCGGAGCCTGCGGCCTCTCCCGTGGAGTGCTGCCTGCCGTCTTACATTTGTGGGTCCGAGGCTTTATCAGTTCGCTTTGCTGCCAGTAAAGCCTTTCACTCAGCCAGTGCCCATGGAAAGCCTGCTCTTGGCCAGGCCGCGTGCCAGGTGCAGACGGAGGCAAGCCGCCGAATGTGGGATGCCCTACAACACGAGGGGCCCGGTTGGTGTACTAGGTTGATGATAAAACAGTAGAAATTAGTAGGCACCTCTAAAAGGGGAAGAGGAGCCATTAGAGAATAAACGAACTTAAAAGACAGAGTTGAATTGAGCGTGTGGAACTTACTTGGGTCACGGCAGAACAGACCAACTGTGAAAAAGGCCTTTGCGAGCTGCTGGGAGGAATTCAATGCAAACTGGGTATTAGATGAAAACTGGGAGTTGATTCTTTTGTGAGGGAGTCGGAGTGGCCTGGTAGATATGTTAAAAAGCCTTAATCATTAGGTTCTAATTTACAATAAGTTGCTGAAATGTCTGAAATTTGCTTTGTAAGTAGTCCAGTTAAAATAAATAAGCCGGAGCCGGGCTCAGTGGCTCAGCCTGTAATCCCACGCCTTTGGGAGGCTGAGGTGAGTGGATTGCCTGAGCCCGTGGGTTTGAGACCCGCCTGGGCACCTTGGCGAGATCTCATCTCTACAATAAATAAAAAAATCAACCGGGTGTGGTAGCGCACGCCTGTAGTTCCAGCTACTTGAAAGGCTGAGGCGGAAGGATCACCAGAGCCCAGCAGGTTGAGGCTGCAGTGGCCCAGAGCGGCCACTGCACTCCAGTCTGGGTGACAGAGTGAGACTCCAACTCAAATAAATAAATAAGGTGCTGGGCTCGATGACTCAGCCTGTAATCCCAGCACTTTGGGAGGCCGAGGTGAGTGGATTGTCTGAGACCTGCCTGGGCAACTTGGTGATACCACTTCTCTACAATAAATCAAAAATTAGCCAGGCGTGGTAGCACTGGCCTGTAGTTCCGACTACTTGGAAGGCTGAGGCAGAAGGATCGCCATTGCCCAGCAGGTCGATGCTGGGGTGGGCGTGAGTGTGCCATGGAACTCCAGCCAGGGCGGCAGAGTGAGACTCCAACTCAGAAAAAGGGCAGATGAAACTCAAGTGGCAGACATTGGAGCAAGTGATAGATGGTTGGAGCTGGGTGATGAATACGGTGGGGGTTATGACTTTTCTTTTGAATATGTTTTACATTTTCTGGAATAAAATTTAAAACAATATCTCATGTTTCCCATTGGCTGTGACCAAGTCACTTCATTGCTTTCAATCTTGATCTCACTTCTAAAACTGGGGTCTTGTAATTTGTTGTGAGGCTTAAAAGAGAAAAATGTTCACTTTCTTCCTCTTTGGGCTCAGGGAATCAGATGAGCATCCTGCAACCCAGAGGCCGATGAACAGAGTTGTAGCTGCCGAGACAGAAACTAGCAGGGAACACCACGTTGGGGACCTTGAACCAGGCTGGGTCCAGGCCAGCCACAAGGCCGTGCCCTGTGTCCACTGATGGGATTTCCCTGATGTGCCAGGGAGAGGCCTGTCACCTTGTGGCCACATAAGGAACTACTGCAAAGGGATCGGCCGCACTTGGGAACCCACCTACCTGTCCTGGGAGCATCACCCAGTGGAAGGCTTCTCCGTGTGGTGGAGAAGTGGCCTGTATGAAGACTCCAGGATTGGCCGTCTGAGCACATGTCCACATGTCCAGCTGGGGGTGCAGGAAGAGCAAGCTGAACAGCATGTGGTGCCCCCAACAAGAATGGGGTGGTGTTTAAAAAAGAAAAATGTCCTCAGAAGAAGGTCGTGCAGATCGTCTGACAGCTTGTCGACCGTGGGCGTGATGCTCGTAGCAGCCAAGCGCCTTTGGGTGCCAGGCTCTGTGCTGGGTGCTTCAAAGATGTCCTCTGGTGGGTCAGCCCAAAGATGCCTTGAGCACGGGACTGGGCCAGTCAGGTTAGGTGACTTTGTGTGGACTGGAAAGGGCCAAGCTTTTGTTCATTTCTCTTGACTGATCTCAGATTCTGCATCAGGGCTGAAGTAGAACCTGCATCTCTGTGCTCCAGAGTGTTTGCTGTAATGAGCTGCATTATTTTGGGAGGGGGGGTGGATTGTCATCCTTTCATTCAACTCTGAAATAAGCAAATTTAAAAAGATATAAGTGTAGCCGGGCTCGGTGGCTCAGCCTGTAATCCCATCCCTTTGGGAGGCTGAGGTGAGTGGATGGCCTGAGCCCGCGGGTTCGAGACCCGCCTGGGCAGTGAGATCTCATCTCTACAATAAATCAAAAAATCAGCTGGGCGTGGTAGCGCACGCCTGTAATTCCGGCTACTGGGAAGGCTGAGGTGGAAGGATCGCCGGAGCCCAGCAGGTCGAGGCTGCAGTGTCCGGGAGCAGCCACTGCACTCCAGTCTGGGCGACAGAGCGAGACTCCGACTCAAAAAAGAAAAAAGATGTGTGTGATGCGTGTAGCAGACAAAATTCTAAAGATGACCTTACCCCTAGTTATTCAGTCATACACTAGGCCAGGTGCTGGTGTGTAGGGACTCCAAAGGTGGAATTAAAGTCCCAAACCATCTGATCTTGAGATTGGAGATTATCTGGTGGGCTTGACCTGGTGAGCCCTTTAAAAACAGGGCACTTTCTCCAGCTGGCAGCAGGAATTAAGGTCAGATTCAAACTTGAGAAAGGCTGGAGTCGACTGCCGATTTGAAGGAGGGAGGGGTCCCGTGGGAGGGTGCGTGGCTGACCTTTAGGGACTGCTAGGAGCTGGACCCTACTGACCACCTGATGAGCCTGGCTATGGATTCTCCCCTAGAGCCTCCAGGCAAGAACCCACCAACCTAACTGCCACCTCGTTTTGATCTTATGAGTGGAGAACCCAGTGTAATTCACTAAAGCCATGTGGTAATCCCCTGAGGCAGGCGTTCCTTTCATCCGCCCCATTTTCTCTTTATTTTGGACTTTGGAGCACTGAATGGATTCATCATGACCCTCGATTCCCATTCTCATCACCCCTTGCTTTATTCTTGGGTTGTTTCTTTCTTTTTTTTTTTGAGTCGGAGTCTCACTGTCACCCAGACCGGAGTGCAGCGGCCGCTCCCGGCCACCGCAGCCTCGCCTGCTGGGCTCCGCAATCCTTCCTCCGCCTTCCGCGTCGCCGGAACTACAGGTGCGCGCTCCCACGCCCGGCTGCTTTTTTGACTTATGGTAGAGATGAGGTCTCGCTGCCCAGGCGGGTCTCGAACCCGCGGGCTCAGGCCGTCCGCTCACCTCAGCCTCCCAAAGCGTGGGGTCGCAGGCTGAGTCACCGAGCCCGGCTATTGGGTTGTTTCTGTTTATTTGGACCCTTCACACCAAGGAAACCGAAGCTCCCAGGTTACAGGACTTGCCTGGAAAAGGGAAACCGGCAACCTGGCAGCAGATTCACCGCTACTTCCCCCAGCACACCAGTTCCAAACTGAAAACGACGTTCTTGGTAAGAAAAATATCACCAGAAGGGGCCACAGACGTTCAAGTCGAAATAGCTTGCTGCAAAAAGAGCCAGACTGCCTGAGAGGTGTTTTAATTGGGATAATCGGTTGCATGGGGAATGAGCAAATGCAGTTAATTAACAACATTTCCCCGAGAACATGGGAAGGAGAGGTGTAGCTGTCTGGACCTCGTGGAGTCCAGCCGTGGCTTGGGTGTCCGCAGTGGCAGGATGGTCTCTTCCCTGATGTGTCCAGGGCGGCCACCGGGGCGGGCCTGAGGGGGACTTCGGCTGGCCTGAAGGACAGGGAGGGAGAGCGGAGGCAAACTCCTGACCCCGAGGAGGGCTTCTTAAAGAGCCCATGGACACGAGAGGTAATTTGAATCAAAAGCTGATTAGATTGCTCCTCACAAGCGCACCGCGATTTGAACCCTCCTGTGTGTTGGTCAAATCAGTCATTAGGCAGAAAAAAGAGGACTGTGAAAAGCACTGGGGGTGAGATGGGCAGGAGGGAACATTTCTCATTATAAAAATA